TCACCGCTTAATCGATTTCTCTTTTCATCCTGATCATTTATGTATACATTTGTCTATATCTATCTCGATTCGTTTTGCCTGTTACAAACAACCGTTATGTGAACAAAGTTATAATACCCTTGTACACAAGTGCGCTCGGGTATAAAAATGGTAAAATAAACAATTTGGTATTATTATTGGCAGTATCTTGAAGAGCAGCAAAGTTTTCCGATCGAAAAAATATTTATTTTCAAGGATTCTATACTAATAATAATAATACTACGAAAACATGATTTTTCCCACATAAAATAAATGGAACACTTAGAGAGACCTGAAAAAATATCTTTGATTTCAAAATAAAAGAGGCACTTAATTTTTTCTGTATAGAACAATCCTAGGGTTCCCACTTTACTTTTTCACATGCATTTTTAGACCACCCTAACATACATACAAATGTACATGTAATTATGTGCATTTGTATGCAAAAATAATAATTTGAAATTCATAAGTTTTATCTAATAGAAATGCCATTAATATAAATTTAGTATATCAAGTAAATACGCTAATTGCTTACTTACTTTTAATTACCACCGCTATCTTAAAATTTTCAAGTGGTGCTTCAATAAAAACTGCACAAATCAGTTACCCAAAGGGTAAGCAGTATTAAAAAAATCGGAAATAATTATAACCACTTACCAAGTAATGTTTATTGAAGGCACTACATACATATATATAAAATCGTTTTAACACTATCAGTTTATGATAAAGCTAATTGAAGCAAAAACTCTAATTACTAAAATATTTTCGCATACATACTTATATCTAGGTGTATACATAGATACAATAAAATAAGTGCTAATTTGGCTAAGTTAGATCTTGAGGCCCCATTTTTTTTTTATAAGCTAAAAAAATATTATCTGTAGTAGATGGTAGGGAGTAGATGGTAGGGAGTAGATGGTAGGGTCTGTACCATCCTGGATATTGCTCCTTTTGATATTTTAAAAAGCCTAAAAATTACAGATTTTATTTTCAAGGCAAGAGTTACATACATGAGTTACATACATACATAGCAAAGTAAAAAAAAGAATGAAATTTATTTTTCTAGATTTCGATCACCTTGGGCCACCGTTAAAAAACTCAAATCGTCAAAAACCTTCTGTCGTCTTAAAATTTTTTTAGCACAAATTAATGGACCTTTAGAAAGAAGTCTCGCTTTCCTAAACCGAAAGCTTAACCATACTTCAGTGAAACACTAACCACCTTAGCGGCGTTTGTTGAAACTAAAGAGCGGCCGTAAAATGAATGTTTTCTTAACAAAAATGTTTTAAATAAATTTGTCTAAATCTATAATGTTATGTCTCCATTGAGAGATTTATCTATTAATATTTAAGGCTTCAGCTCCAGTGTGCGTGCTGTAAACATGCCGATTGTTTATGTTATGTCGGCAGCTGGGATACGGCGTTGTTGAAAATTTGTCTGGGACAAGGCGTTGTTGAAAATTTGTCTGGGATACGGCGTTGTTGAAAATTTGTCTGGGATAAGGCGTTTTCGAACCGGCTGTCGAGATATGTCACTCTTCCATTCAGTCTGCCGCACACTTTAGTGGGAAAACGGATCGTCAAAGTATCCCAAAATATAATCGGTGAACGGACAAAAATCCGCATTTCACCTACTTTTCTTTCCTTTTTCGGATCGATTTTCGGATTTTTTGCTGCATTATGAGCAAAACGTGTCAGACTTTTCAGTCAAGGTTGAACAGTTTTGAGTAAAAAAATATATTAAAACTAAAATAACAAGAGGATAGTAAAATTTATTTAAAATATTAATCATATTAATAAAGGCGCAATAATTGCAAGTGCAATAGCCGACAAGGCTTTGTTTATTTCATTGAACGCTTTTTCAAGAATGCAATACGAATGTAAACAATAGGATACACATGCGTACGTACATATGTATGTACAGTATCAGTCATATCTATAGCACGCCGTTTCAAAGTGAGATTGTTTGCTACTTTTGTTTATTTATTTAGCCCTTTCTTGCATTTGTACAATATATTGTTCATTTAATTTTTTTTTAATATTGAACGCGTACTACTAAAAATCTTATAAATATTTTTGAAAACAAATTAAACTTTATCAAGTTGTGGAATGTACCGAATAGTTTACGTAAATTTCAAAATCGAAAACGTTTCAAAAATATTTTTAGAATTTAATTTAAAAATAGACCATTTTATAAAATTCCAGTGGCATACGTGAAAGTCAAGTAATTTCGCTAATAAAAGGAAATATAAAAAGCGTTTCATCATTTAAAAATGCTTAAATTAAACTATCATGATTTAAAATATTTTTTCCGGGTGGTCAAAAAAAAATATACAATATATTGTACATTTACACTGAAAGCTTTAAAGTGTCTTGTACAACATATTGTATTGCAATTAGGGTGGTTTTTGTCGTGGTTTTTGAAGAGCTTGTGCGCTGTTGTTGCAGTAAAGGGTAGGTTTTTGAATTCTTGATCTACTGAAGGCAGAAAAACCGGGAAAGTTTATTAGAACGGGTCATTTATATTTTATATTGTAATTTTATCTGAAATTTTTCAAAATTTCTTTATATAATTCTCTTTTCATGGAGAAAATTTACAATTTTTTAATCCAAATCTTAACTAAAGGTTCTTAAAAAGATATAAAATATTCATTCCAACATATCTGCAGTGAAATAAATTATTTCGTACATAAATAAGTTCACTTTCAATGAAATACAATTTTATTTTTCCGGCAAACTTAGTGAAATATTTATTGAGTTTTTTTGAGTGCTTTTACTCCTTTGCGGACTTTTGTACAATATATTGCCGAAATTTGAGGTAGCCCTAATAGCGACCCAAAACAACTTTTGAGTATTTTTTTTTTTACTTTTGGTATTATGTAGCGCCTCATGAACCTTGTAATTAAGAGGAAAAATTCTTATATTCATCAGGGACCGATTTGACCGGAAAGGGTTAGTTTTCAAAATTTTCTGTTAAATTACAGTTCATTCTCTAACAAATCCCATGTAAACCCAAGTTTAAAACTTTGTAAAAAAACACAAAAAAATCAACAAATTTTCAAGCAACTTTCAAACTTTTTTCTCAGAAGTATTAGAATTCTTTTGAGTACAGAGTTTTATAGCCCAATTTTAGTCTGATAATAGGCGTATTTTTTTTACACGGATACGTATATGCGCTTAAAATTTGTATGGAGGTGTAAGCGAAAAACTTTTGTGTGCGCTTATGAATAGTTGTCGATAAAATCACAAGTAATTTTTAAGCAAACAAGTAATGCAAAAAAAATCGGCCTCATGCGTGTAAAAAAAACCAGCTAATTCACATGTTTTAAGGCCTAAAAATTGCTGTTGATTTTTTAGACACTTTTCAGAAAAAATTTTAAATTCGGAGAAAATTTTTTAAATTTTGTTTGTAGTTTTCTACAAAGTTTTAGCCTTGGGTATAAATGTATTAGTTTTGTAAGAGAGCGAACTGCATTTAAATTAAAAATTCTTAAAAATAAAGAAATAAACATAAGTGCAATGCCGTGCTATAGAAAAGACCGATGCCGTATGTATGTATGTACACACTTATAAACATATATGTGTTTAAATGCCTACGTTATATACGTCGTACGTTATATACATACATATGTACATACAATAAAGTGACGAGTACAATACTAAATTTATTTTATTTTTTTCACAGCCCGGTCGCGTTGCAACACTCATTGAAGACAAAGAGGTGAGTGAAATTAATGTGAGTACCTATTTATAATAAGAACCACATAACAATACATTTTATCACAATTAATCAGTGGTGGCCACATAGTTATGGACACTACTTCGTTACAAACTTTAACCTTGTATTTTTTCTTTACTTTGTTTAAATTTATTTATTTCAAAAATATACTTAATATTACAACGAAAACCATATAAGTCGAAAGTTTCAATCTATGTAAAAGATTTATAAAAAATCGCCAAATTTCAAATTGGTCATCCAAGTTTCAACCTTTCAAAATTTCTAGAAAGTTTGTGGTAAGGTTAATTTCTTTATGATAAATAGATGGCAACTAAACCAAATTAGTATGGGATCACCCTTAAAGTACCACCTTTTCCATAAAAAAAGACTAATCGAAAACGGTTCAACGTCCATTTTTAAGTCGAAAATAAAAGCCCTTTCCTAATAAAAATCAAACCGCTTATCCAAATGAAACAAGTTTGGTATCAACTGAAAGAGGACTGCTATTTTAGTCTGAAATATTTAAACGAGGAAAGCCAGCAGAAAGCCAGCCATTGAAAAATATTTAAATAAATAATGTTTTTTAATTGCCATACAACAAACCTTGGGTCAGGTATATGCATATCTTTTGTATTAAATTATAAAAAAATATAAATAAAAGTGGTAGCCTTCGATCGTTATTTCTATTTAAGTCCTCTTTCATTTGGTACCAAATTTGATAAATTTGGATAAGCGGTTTGTTTACTATCCGGAAAGACTTTTATTTCGAACTTAAAAAATATCTGGCCAAGTTTAACTGTTTGAAACAAATAACTGTTATTAACGGTCCCTGGATTCTTTAGCTCAAATTCGTTTAAATGTTGCATCTGATTGAAGACGGTATCTAATATTATGCTGTAGCTGTAATTTTTTAAATTCTTAAAGGATTTTGGTGTTTAATCTACCGATTTTCGTTCAAGATCCAATTTTGATGAGCTCTATAACATATGTAGACAGGCGGCAATTTTAATCCGGATTAACGAAGTAATTGATCCGATCAAAATTTTACCCTGACAAATGGCAATATTGCGAACTAAGCAAGCCGCGAGGATTTTTTTTTTGAGTTCCTTCAATTACCTATTATTTTTATTTTTTAATCTGACTATATTTGCCAGAGTGTCCAGATTAGTCATTTTAGCGGCGATTTAACGTTTTTTTTTTATAACCACGGATTTCTCCTTATTATAGCTTCTTTTTTTATTTTTAGCGCCGAGCGCTCAAAAGTGGATTGTGCGATTCATCAATTAATATGAGTTATAATAAATTTATTAATTACGCAGCCCTATTGCAAAATGTGTTAATACAAATATTTTTTAAAGATATGCGTCTTTTTAAAGAGAATTGTTTTTACATCACTATTGTAGTATAAGAGATTTGTGTTATTTATTATTACCCTAAAGGTATTATATTCGTTTATGGTTTTAAAACCTATATTATAACAAGATCTCATTTTTTAAATAAAAGATTTGTTAAGTCGATTTCGGGAATTTTATTTAACAAAAAATTTTGCGATTTTTGACACTTTTTTAAACAATCTGGATACCCTGATAGGCCTATTTCAAATATGCAAATTTCAATAAAAATGAACTCCTAAAAATTCTATAATATTTAAATAACTGAGTAAAATAACATACATATAACAAATAAAATATGATATAATCAAGGACCGAAAATCATAATTATTTTCGAAATTTCAATTCAAAGTCAGTTTGATAGAATTTGTCTCTTAAACATTTATATATAGCAATGTGATGCTTGTTAGCCAAGTAATGTTAATTCTATATGATTTAAATTTTCTTTACTTTTTTCAAAAAGGTCATCAATTAACCGTCATTTTTTTACTCATATTTTTTCAATCGAAAAATAACAGCTTTATTATAACTTTTGTTTTTCCAGTTAAAAAAAAAGTTAAAATTTAAAATTTGCAGTGAAAAATAAAAGTTAATATCTGACTTCTACTTTTTTCGGTAAAAAAAAACAACAACAACTGGCCGTTTTCGTTTGCGAGCCTGGTGGTCATCGGTTCGAGTCCCACGCCTAGCTAAAGTTGTGTTTAATAATTTTGTATTGATTCTGTAATTTAGTTCATTTTTAAGTAGCCATTTTAACGGATTTATTAAATTAAATTAAATTGAAATAAATATGGCAAAAAAAATAATTAAAAAATAAATGAAATAAAACTAAAAAAATTTCCAATATTTGGATAAGGCCCGGCCCAGGGATCGAACCTGGGTCGTATATACTGTATACAGCTCTACTTACTCGACGACGTTTATTTTTCATTTATCTACATATCGTAAACGATCTTCAAAAGTGACACAACTCAAAATTTGTCATTTTTGAAATTATGCACCAAAAATGTGCACAGAGCTTTCATTTACCCTTAAGCAAAGGCTGGAGCAAATTTTTCCTAAGGTAAAGTCTCCCTTGCCGAATTGAATAGCATGTGCTATGAAAGAGTTTTTCGTATTTTCTGACGAGCGTGTAATCTTGAGTTGTGTCACTTTTGAAGATCGTGTGCAGTATGTACAATGGAAAAAAATGGCTCTTGTTATTTCTTTTTGGACAATTTCTAGCTGAACTTAAAAGTTTGTTTCTGTAGACTAGGTTTTAGTAAAAAATAATAATAAACACCTTTTAATTAACGAAGGAGCAGCTTTGCAGTGCCAGTTTAAACTTAGATTACGTAAACTATGTATGTATGTACGTTTATATTGAACAGTTGGCTGACGTTTGCTTGGCTAATTTTATTGCTCAAGTAAGCAAACAAAGCGCTTGGTTTTGGCATTGGCTGTAGCGGAGTGGTTAGATCTGCGTACTACAACTCGGTAGCACCCAGGTTCGATCCTCGGTTCGGCCGATTGCTATTTTTTAATTTTTTGTTTATTATTTTACTTTCTTTCTTTTGTTTAATTTTATTTAATATTATTTATCTTATTGTTCGGTAATCTATATTTTTAGAGTTGAATTTTATTAAAAAGTCAAAAACGACTAACTAAAAACAACATTAAAAATAATATAAGTTACATATAGTTGAATGAATAAAAAAAAATTTATATAAATTCTACTGGACGTGGGTTCGAGTCCCACTACTGCCTTCTATCAAGGCACAGTTTTGATCAGATCAACCGCGCCGTTAATCCGGGTCAACGTTGCCGTCTGTCTATGTGTTAATACACAAAACTAATGCGGATCAGAAGAATTTTCGATCACAATACTGATCAGTTTTTTTTTATATATGTACAGTGACGAGCAAAACTGTAACATGATGTAACACTTTTTATTTCAGCCACCGCTATCTTTCATAGTTCTAACGACTTTCACACTTTTGTTCTATATTCTTATTGGTACATCCCTACTCCCGCTCTCATAACGATTTGAGGTCAATCCAACAACAATAAAAAAACCTGGAGACAAAAATGAAAGTTAAGGCAAATGTTACAGTTTTGCACTCATTCTCAGTTTTGCATTTTACAGTTATCTTTTGCTTAGTTGGAAGTCAGATGACTTTTTTCTGTATTGTAATTTATTCAAGAAGTGATCACCAATAAATAATATGGTTAATCAGGAAACATAAATGTAAAAAATAGATTTACTGCGACAAGGCGGGACCGTAGGGAAAGTGGCAAAAAAATGTGGAGTTTGCCACATGAAAATGTTAACACTGAGAAAAAATATAGCCTAAAGTGTTACTAAGGACAAAGGAAGTCTGTCAAAATATATTACAGTCCGATATCTTGTGAACTTAGTAGCAAGTAACGCTGCAGGTACTACTACAGAAGCGCTTAAGGTATTAAAATTGAATGCAAATCAGTAGATAGTGAGGCGAAAAGTTGCCAAATTGAGCAAAATGGATCATAAAAGAAGAAAAAAGCAAATTTGATCAAAATACATGTGCGAGTGGGGCAGCGTTTTGCTGCATCGCGCGAAAACCGGACCGTTGCCTATTGGGATATGTTAGGCCTTACATAACGCAATAAAAAACACATTTTTTAAGATTTAATTGAGGCTTATGTGGTCTGACAAGACTAAATTAATAGCTTTTAGCAGATGGCCGGGCATGGTATTGGAATAAAGGCCTAAATTAAGCCTAAGCGCATCATGTAAGGCAAACTGTGAATCACAGTGGTCGGTCAATATTAGTTTGGGGTTGTATTTCAAAAATGTTGTTGATCCGTTTGTACGTATTATGCGTAAGGAACAGTATCTGTTCATATTTCAACAAAATTTGCAAGATGTAGTCGAAAAAATTAGAGTTTCTGCTGAAAAAACAACCAAAACACACTGCACATGTTCGCAAAGACTGGAACAAAAGCAGAAATTTGCTAATTTGAAATGACCTCCACAATCCGAGGACATGAATCTCATCGAGAATTTGCGAAATCAACTAAAAGCGCATCTTACTAAGTATCCAAGTCCGTCCAATGGAGTACGTGAGCTGTGAAAGCAAACGAAGGATATATGGGAGGCTATACCTCCAGAATTTTTACAGACATGCACATTAGGTATGCTAAATTGCAACCAGAAACTAAATAAAGCAAAACCATACTGAACATTGTGTTAATAATTCTTTTTTTTTTGTGAAAATTGTCAAAAAGTTATTAAAAATACATGAGTGCAAAACTGTAACTTATGCCTTAATTTACATTTTTGTCTGCTGGTTTCTTTAATGTTGTTGAATTGACTTCAAATCGTTATGACAGAGGAAGCAAAGATGTACCAATAAAAATACAGAACAACAGTATGAATGTCGTTAGAACTTGGAAAGATAGCGACAGCTGAAAGAAAAGGTGTTACTCCATGTTACAGTTTTGCTCGTCACTGTATATATCGTCACCAGAAATGCAAAAAGTCATAACCAATAAAAAATTCAAAATTCACTTTTTGATTTATGTATATGATGAATTTCATCGTATTACAACTCCCCACATCATTTAAGGAAAAAAATAAAAATTTTAGTCACGACCTTTTCCATTTCAGTTGCATTTCAGGTGAGGATATGTATTTTATTCTGCTTTATTTGA